AAATGTCGAATGAAGTAGCACCAAACGTTATTTCTATTAAGATCATATAATTGAGTATTCACCAAAAATAAAAAACTCATTATTGTCAATTATATTTTGCAGTGGTCTTAGGTTGCCTTCTATCATTGCTTATGATTAATTGCTTGCCTGCAAAATTCCCTTAAAAATAATTATTCACTCTTAGGAAGACATCCATTGCATATTTTTATTTGTTATTAGTGCTTTGATACCGGAGTTAAAACAAACCACGACCTAACGACAAATAGTATTGCTGAATTTAAAAGTACAACGATGACTCTTCATTATAAACAACACGAACACACAAACGGACTAGCTCTTTCAACTGCCAAAATATTCTCTTACTTGTCGTAGGTTTTCTCCTCTGACTGGAGAAGTTCAGCTTATTTTCAAATCAACTAGCTCTTTCAACTAACATTAAGAAATCACTTATTTTGAAAATTTTTAAAGCCAACCTCAACAAATCTCTGAGGCCGCGTAGAAATGTAGCATTTTTCTTCTGAGATACTAACATAGTGGGGTGCATATCTGGAAAGAGAAGTAAATTATGTCGCATATTATAAAATGGATTGGACCTCTGAGTCAGATTGAGGAATTTGTCTTGCAATGCTAATCTGTTTGAAAGCGGAATAAATTAATCCTTGAAGACTTTGACAAAATCATCCTATTGAATCTGTGGAAGAGCTGTCAGCTAAAATTTCTCTCTATGTTCTGTTTGCGACCACCTCCCTGCATCGCCTTCTAACATGAAAGGAGCTAGCACACTCCACTATTTTTTGGTCAAATCACACAATTTAGAATCTTTCTGATCTTTAATAGTTAATCTTCAACAACTGTAGGGTTACTAACACCCTTGAATGTATGTGGCTTGGATATTTAAGAGATCTTCAAGTGTCGATTAATTTCTACCCCAACTTCAGATCTGACCACTATGCTAGTGGAAGATCTTTCAATGGCAACTATTTTGTCAACCACTTATGATATCAATTAAACAATGCCCTGTAACTAATTGACTCTAGTTTCCTCTTTTGTCATGTTCTGATTATAATTTGTGTTCAAACCATTTAGCTGATACTTCTTATTCTCTTTCAGGCTTATTCATCTCAATTGACACAATTTATTATTCAAATGTAATCTATTATATAATAATTATATCGTGCGTATAATGTCGTAAGTCATTTTTGTTACCCACCATGAATTCGTCAACCTATAGCTCTGTCTAAATCAATTCATATTTGATCTCAATCTTACTTCTTCTAAATGCATCACACTTCCATCATTCTTTTCATTCAATAAATATGCCCTGATACCACTTTTCGTCACACTCCAACTAGCCCTCCTTAAAGGTCTACTATGGTATGATTGAGGCAGATGATTTGATCAGATTAAATTCTTACAAGCACTAGTCTTGACTTGCAGAATCTGTACATAGTGGGTGATGAATTAGTCTAACCAAATCACCGTAAACATACTTAATATATTTCATTCTATAATTCATTGACATTCACATATATTTAGAAGCGTGTAAACTTATATCACCAAAACATATATATTTATATGAAATAGTTAAATCCAACATAAAAAGATACGTACCCGAAAGTCTGTACAAGCTCCCAAAATTATGAAATGCAAGTTATACAAGTCAGACATTACTATTTGCCCCAATGCTTCTTATCCCTTCTTAAAAGTAAAAAATGCAGAGTGATTAACAACGAGCTCAACAAAATAATTTGGACTAATGTAAGATTTTGTAGATTAAAAAGAAACATCATGCATGCTTATATGTATCTCATGTACATGCTCATAATACATGTATAATATGCTATATTCATATAAAATATATAAAAAGAAGACATAATTCACAGAATTATGAATGTTGTATAAAACATTTATTTCATTCATTCATCTGTAATCAGATGCATATTCATAAAGTCATTAATTTAATCATAGGAATGTCACTTGTAGTTATACATGTCTCAATTATTTTTTACATGTAATTGGTTTGTGACCTAGCGCAAATGTCATACTAACTATTGATAAAGGTTGGGCCACCCGACATACCAGTTAGTAATAGTCTACCAGTACCAATGGTTCCCTATATTCTGTCGTCATCTGATCCCAATGGCTTTAGTAGTTTCATCTCCGTTTGAATACTAGGATTTGGAAATCTCGTCGCTCACTATTATTTGTACTTATAAGTATTCATATAATAGCTACCTAACATCACTTATGATATATTTTTAAATCATAATTCCAGTAATAAGCATTCATCATAGACATTTCATATATAATATGCATGAATCATAGTAAATGAATACCCGCGAGCAATGAATTCATAGGCATTTTCATCATATGTATAACATAGAAAAATCATAGATATTGTAAGTGATAAATCAAGTTTGCATTCATTATAATCAATGTATGTATTCATTTATAATATTTAGAATTTCTAAATGCAATTGTATTGTACACATAATCACGTGGAAACTTACAAAGAGTTTTCTTCTTAATTTAGCACATGATTATTTCACTTGAATTGACGGATCAGGGCTATGACGAGTTTCCCCAAGCTTGCATCGAGCTCACCACACAGTGCAAACAACCTGGAATTTGTAAACATCTTAGGATTTGACAAAATCTTGGCTCATTTTGATGATTTAATCCCAAAAAACTTATTTACAAATTTCTACCTCAAACGGGCTTCACTACATAAGCAGTTCTTCTATGATATTTGTTATTTTTTTCCCCTTTTCTTCTATCCTTTTTACATGCTGATCATTGGCTAAAGACCCATACAGAATCCTACAAATAAAATTTGTAGTCTCTGATAAAAGCCCGCCTCTTGCTACAACGACCTGAAACGAAAATATGTACCGCTTTGTGACATACGCAAAATGAAAATGTAAGGACATAAAGGAATATCACAAATGTTGTGAAAGAGGGGTTTGTACTCACAGAAATCTTCTGGGACCCTAAACCGTGAGTTGTGGCTTTGTGCGGATCATTCTCCCTATCTCTATTCGCGTTTGCTACAGGGATTGATCGCTGGAAGCTTCAACCAAGTGAAATGAAGTGAGGGAGAGGGGAAAATGAGATAGAAATGTGTCATTTAACTCACTCCATTAACTCTCAGTCGCGTGATTCATCCCACGACTAAGGGTGCGTTTGGGGCAGTTTCTGCTTATCCAGATAAACAGCTTATCCTGAAACACGGTCTGCGAGGTTCGACCCGCGACTTGCGTTTAGTGTAAAAATTTAACCGCGTTTTCAGATAAGCTATCGAAACGTGTTTTCCAAACAGTGAGGCGGCGTTTTCTAAACGCCGCCCGCACTTATAAGCTGCCCCAAATAGGCCGTAAGAATTGCGGAAAGAGTCGGTGATACGGTGTCGGGGAAGATTTAGGAATTAGTTAGGGCTGCCTAAGTTTAATTAAACTTATAACTTCAGAATTTTATATCTTATACGTTAAAAATTTATGCATGGTGCTATATATCAAATTGATCGATTCAACATGTATAATTTTATAAATTTGATATAATCGATTTTCAAGGATGCAAAATTTAGGGTATAATTTGAAATTGCCAAAATTGGGTGTTACGGATAGATTGTTGGTGGAGATACTCAACATAATGGAGGCATTTAGGCGTTGAACCAGAGTGCGACATTCAACCATAAGGAAGTCTGTTTTAATTTTTTTTTTTTTTTTTCTTCTTTTTGATTGCACAACTAAAAGGTGACCTTGGCATCCGAAAAATATCAAAATTGACGCTCTACATTTTTAATCCTTGAGAGCTTACTTAGCATGAATCTTGTGGGTGAAGCTAAGAGAGTAGGATTATTCCTCTTTGACTCGTTATACTGCATATATAATCTTCCTCTTTAATGGTTTTATTTGTAGCGGAAGGCATGCTTTTACTCTAGTTGTGTTGCCTTACAATGTCCAGCATATGAAGAAATGAATCTTTATTTTTCGCAAGGAGATTGAATGGCAGATATCATCTTGAATTTTTGAATGTATTGTCTCTTCAATCGGTTCATTTGGAACATTCTAAAGGCGCCCTTCTTGTACTTACATAGTCTTATTTAAATTTCGGTCCTTTAGTTCTCACCCTCTGTTTAAACCAAAAAGACTAAATTTGGATGATCATATTGTGGAATCACCAAGGAATTCTAATTCTAAATAAAGTTGGAATCTAAATAGATTGATCAAACTTTTCGGGTAATTCCAAGTTGTGCAAAGCCTTTTTGTTTTTTTTATTTAATCTGGTTCCATGATATTCTGTTTCACAATCTCATGCTTGATTAAATTTGTTTTGCTTGATAATGTAAGATGAATACCTATATTTGTCATCAAACTATGTTTACTAAGTAGATTCATATGATGGCCATGTCACCAATGACTTTAACGGTCTCCTGGGTTGGCTTCCCTTGTTGGGACAAGTCATCTCTGACTATTACAAACACTTTAGGGGCTGCCTAGTTGTTTGTAACAACTTTTTATGGTGTAGATTTTGCGACCCACGCCTATTTTTAACCAATAGTTTTTAGGGAAAATTACATACATAGCACCCAATGCTTATGAATTTACCTATCTCACACCTAGACTTTCATTTTTACACACAACACTTTATCTAAGGATGAAATGATAGATTTGACTATTAAAAGGTGATAGTGAGTGCTATTTTTCATACGATGTTTGTAATTATGAAAGTTTAGGTGTGAGATACGTAAATGTGAAAGTTTTGGGTGCTATGTATGTAAATGCCCCTAGTTTTTAACTGTCTCCATAATGGTGAAATCAGGATGGATTCTTTTCTGCAAAAAGTGCTTTGTTTCTCTATTATATGCTATGGTGAAACAAAGATTGTTTCTTAAATTGTTAGTTGAAATCATTATTGATTGTCGACGGTCATTTCCAGACTGGAGAAGTAATTGATAATCTAATATTGCCTCTGATGATTTATATGCATTTTTATTTCAGGAGGAGCTGAAGAGAAACACAATCACAATGGTGGAGCAAAGTAAGGTGCTGAACACTTCAGGCGCCGAGAAGCAGACTAAGAGGGAGCTGTTTGACGCACTCCGTCAAGAACTCGAGTAACTTTGTTTATTTCGCATGCGCAGGCATCATTTTCTCTAAATATTGCTAATCATATATGCTCATAAATCCTTATTAGTTGATAATATTGACCTCTGAAGCTCTTAATTTGCTTCACAGAACGCCTGTGCTTGAGAAAGCCTCAAAAGCAGTGTGGGAGCTCATACTGGATAATAATGGCCTTGGAAAAGAGATCAGCGAGGTGGTCGAGAGAGTCTATCGTCGCCTAAGCGGCATTGAGCTGCCCACGCCTCCTCCTTCGGCGGCAGAACCGGTGAACGGCGATGAAGTAAAGGAAGAGAATGTGAAGGGTTCGGACGTGGCTGAATCCTCTGCGAAAAAGCGGACATTCGGTGAGATGAATGCTCAAGATATTGCCCAAACTCTCCCTAATGAAAGTGGTGACAATCATCCTATGGCGTGACTTCGTTTTTCTATTTGTTTTCTGATGCAAATCTTGATTTGGTTAATGCAGTGTCATAAGCTTTTAGGAAAGGCAGTGTAAAGATATCTACTTAGCTATTTCCAACCACATTGTAGGTATTTTCTTGAACTGGATATCGGTTCATATTAACCAAATCAAAGTCACATTTGTCAAGGACATTAACATTCATACTGGCCAATTCCTATGTACTTATATATCTAACATCTGAACTTTATTTTTCTATATTTATACCACTCAAATCTTTGATTTCACCTATAAAATATTACTATTTTAACATTTAAAAAGTGAAAATGCCTTTGCATGCATAGATAAGGTGGTACATATGTAAAATGTTTAGGAGTTAGATATGTAAATACCTAGGTTTAGATTGCCACTGCTGTTGACAGTGGATTGTCATCATAATAAACAATATTCTTTAATGAATGTTAACAATCAAAACTAATAATATTTATTTCTAATATTTAAATTGAGAATCGTTTAAAATTGTTTTTTATGAGGAAGCGAATTATATTTAACATCTGTTCCAAATTATATCAAACACACTGGTTGCGTTTTGATGATTTTCTCGTATTCAGCAATAGGTTACATGCTTGACTATTCTTATGGTTTATTTTGGTGCTTTTCATTTCCCAAAGGTTTTTGTTTTTTTTTTTTTCATCAATTATGAGGGTGTGTTTGGGGTAAGTCGCTTATCTGGAAAAATGGACCGTAGGGTTTGACCCGCATTCTTCGTTTAGTGTGAAAAACCAAGTGCGTTTTTGGATAAATTGCTCAAACGCAATTTCCAAACTGTGAGGCGGTCTTTTCAAAATGCCATCGTAGCGAATAAGCAGTCACAAACGGAGCCTTAGTCATAGGTTATGTGCTCGCTTATGTTGTGGCGAGATAAGATAATATACACCAGTTTATGTGTTATCCATATAAATCAAACAGGAAAATTATTGATGAAGTGAAAAATAAAACAAGAAATATTCAATCAGAGAAGAACACATAAATTTACGTGGTTCGACAAATTGCCTACATCCACGGAGTTGCAGAAAATTTTACTACTTGAGAAATTTACACAAGTCGATCACCTCAACTTACAAGAGGAATCTCTCACTTCGTTGCTCTCTGTTTTTCTCTCTCTGCACCGAGATACACCGAAGAAACTCTATTCCGAGATACACCGAAGAAGATAAATTTACAAGAGAAATAAACTCAATTTCTCTTCTACCACAAGTCACCAAGAAGAAGCCTAGGGGAACAATCTTCTTCTTCTTTTAGCCGCAAGGAACTACCGTCTGCACTTCTCTTCCTCTACCCCGACGAAACATTCCTCTATCCTGAGGAAACCGAAGAAGAACTCAATCCGTGACTTCTAAACCCAAGGAGAGCCATCCGAAGCTTTTATCACAAACAGGAAGGAACGAAGGGATGTTTCGCTTCACAACAGAGGAAGGCAGGAGTGGTTGGCACTTACGGTTCGCGAATCGACGCAAGGCGGGAAAGAACGCAACTGTTTCGTGATCGAAGCGGGAGATCACGAAACATTGCAATCGGGTGAGCGGAAGCGGGGCTCCGGACCGGGCTCCGGACCGGGCTCCACTTCTAACAGTTAGGAGCACTTGGAGCTTAAGATTAGCACCATCGTGGTTAGATCTCCTTAAATTCAGCTCTAGGTAGGATTTACTCAATCCGATTATTTCTCAAAATTGGTGTAGAAATGGAATTTAACATAACACTTGGACTTAACCCTATCTCGCTAACTTGCTTACGATAGCTATAGGTTGCATCTGGAAAAGTTTGAGCTGCTACAGTTTTTTTTTTTTAATTTTTTGTTGTTAAATCTTTTCAAGTTTCCTTTATCATATTGCATGGTACTTTTCAGGGCTCTGAAGAGGATACTGCTAACGTTAGTACAGAAGATATTTCGGAAAAGCAGCAATATGTGGTTACTAAATCCTCTGACGTAGTTCCTGCTATTAATCGCAGATCAAAGAAGAAAAAGAAAAAAAATAAGGAGATACAGAAATTCGCGAAAGGGAAAGTCGAAGAATCATTAGATTCAATTCTAGAAGAGCTTTCTATTGATGTAAAGGCTTCTAATGAAAACATCTGTCATAGTGCTAAAGAACGAAATGAGAATGTGATTGATGCTACGAAAAAGCAAGTCGGTTCTTCAATCCTAACAGCGGATCCTAAACACTTAAAAGCTGAGTCTGAATTGCGGAAAATATTTGGTTCTAGAGTTGTTAATTCTTTTGAAAACAATGAGATTGGGGGCAACTTGAGGCAGATGCATGGTGGAAGACGTGCAATTCACAACCCACGCAGAACCATTCTTGTCACTCCATCAAGTTATTGGCCGCGATGGGATGGGTCTTTGTCCATGGAATTGATCGAAATAAAGGATGGGCTTCATTATTTTAGGTAAGTTGCTATTATCTTCATGCAATGACTTTTAGGAGGTAATGGTTTTTTGGATGGGTTTGTGGTATCCTTTTTAATAACAATGTTATATTAAATGTAATTATATACATTATAATCACGTATTTTTCAAAAATTAGAATAAAAAAATTAATAATCTCTTGATTTTCCCAAGAGCATTGGTTTGTTCATGGTATGCATGCTTGAACATGAAGTTACCAAGGTGGAATGGAATAACCTATTGGTGCAATAAGTTAGCACTATTCAACCTACTGTCATTACCATTCCATCCAGTGTCTAAGCTAGGACCTAAGATTTTGGGTCCAAATCATCAAGGGATGAAGTATTGAAGGTTTAGGAGTAATTTGGTTAAAGCTTAATTGCACTTTAGTTGACTCAAACCAGTTAACCAAAATTGTCCCCTTAGAAAGAATATAGGATAAGCTAATCCTTTCTTTTCCTTGAGCCAAGATGATTTAGTGTCCGGGTCTCCATATGATTCTAGGATGTTGTGTGTGTGTATATATATATATATATATACATACTATGTGGGTGTGTATGCATAAATGTGCACACACACATACATACATAAATATACAAACATACATACTTAGGATTAGTTTTTTATAAGGGTATTTATTTAAGTGGTTGTGTAGTTTTCTGACGTATGTTGTGTACAATCATGCTATTAGCAAATGCCTAATATTTGATTTTTTTTAACATCTTTAAATAATAATTAATAACTTGCATTAATGTTACAGTGAGAGTGGTGCATATTGAAGATAAGTTAATAGAAAATAAGCTCCTGTGATTTGGGTACATATACCAAAGGGAAGGAACTGCAGCACGGATAAAACAAATATTTAAGGATGAGAAAGCAAAAAGACTGGATGAAAGGTAATATGGATGGAAATTGCGTTAAATGATTTATAAGATTAGATTAAGCACTTATGCAATACTTAGCTAGAAATAATAGAAATTGAGAATTCATAATGCTGGCCTAAAATAGTTGGGATGAATTTAATAATAATGATTATGACAATAAGAATGCTCAGTAGATGCAGTTGATCTGTACGTACAACAGGAGGTATAAGAAGCTAACAGCATGAGTCATTAATGCGAGTCCTAAAACAATCAATGGCATCTTCCTTTTCAATTAAGGGGCATTTATTTACATAGCACACAATTCTTATGTATTTACATATCTCCCTCCAAAACTTTCATGTTTATGCACATAACACTCAAATCTTTAATTACACAAAAAAATAGTACTATTAACACTTTTAAGAAGTAAAATACACTTTTCATGCCAGGGTTTCAAGCACCGAAGTGCTATGTATGTGAATATGAAAGTGTTATGGTATGACTCATATACCATATCGGGACAGACGCTGGATCGGAGCGGAGCAGAGCGGAGCGGAAGAATCTGTCCAAATTGGGAAGTTACGTGGGTTGGGGTGCGGGGGCAAAGCCCCGCGGTATGGTACAAGGGTAATGTTGTAATTACATATTGTGCCTAGGTTTACTCCTGGGGTTATAAATAGGCCTGTTAGTAACCCCAGGAGGTATCCCTCTATTCTGTAACCCTTTTCTGAATATTGAAAGGAACTCGCCGCTCTGCTCCCGAGGACGTAGGCATCTTTGTCGAACAGATCGGGTTCCAACATAACAGCTTAAACTTCGTCATCTAGGACTATCTAAATCTTATATTATCATAAGATTTCTTCAAAAAAGTTCTTTTAATTTATGCTCTTCTTAATTGGCCAAAAGTAACTAAAATTAAGTTTACGAAAATATTACTGCTTTCTTATAAATTTCTCCTAGTAAGAAAAAAATTTAAGATTTAACTATTTAATCTCAACAAAAATATAGAAAAGAAAATTATACTTATCAGGTTTTTAAGAGCAACTTTACAACATTGATGATCACTCAGTAACTTTTAGCTTTATGTTGTAGCTTTATGTGATATTCAGAAATTTGAGGGTCTCTCAAACAAATTTCTCAAGCTCTTAGTGAGATTTAGAAAAACCCTTTCAATTTATTTCAATAAAATATACAAACATAAGCGAAGAAAAGGAAGAATGTTATTACAAGCTTTTAAGTCTTAGGGCCCGTTTAGGCCAGCTTTTTTGGTGCGGTGGCGTTTTGAAGACTCACCTTATCTGTTTGGGTAAACTGTGTTTTGGCAGTTTATGTGTTTTCAAAACGCTGAAAACAACGTTTTCACACTGCACCTATCTAGGTGCAGTGACAGCTTTCGGGCTGTAGTTTTGCTTTTTCAAAAAAATAAAAATTTATAATAGCCACCGTACCTAATTTATTAACAAATTATTTTTAATCAGCTTATCAACAAATTATTCAACAAACTACAGCTACCCCAAACAGACCCTTAAAGTATAACCAGAATGTAAAAAATATTTTGAAAGATTTACGTGCATACCACTCAATTATCAACTATTTACATATCTGATACCTATACTTCAATTTTTACATACTTGCCACCTTACCATGCATGTATGAGTTTATTTTTTTTTTTTGCTTTTTCTCCTTTCATATGTGATAGAATTCATGATCTTAGAGGTTCAGTAATCTCTTTTAACTAATATTTCATAGTCTTTTTACTCTTAAGATTGAAAGGCAAATTATTGAGGCTTCTTCCTTACTCCATTTGCAAGAGGATATCTATAAATAATCAACATGTATAGAATTTTATATGATATTTATTACATTAATTATTTAAAAATATCATTTAATTATTTTCTATTATTAGCATATAATTTATAATAATCATATTCACTTCTTTTTAATTTATCTATAAATTGAAAGTGTTAATCCTATGAGCCAATGAAGTGCTTGAACTTAACTTGATGAACAAACACATACTTTATGATTCTAATAAATTAGGACACAAATTATGACATTATTGTTGGTGTTATGTGGTTGTGTTCAACCTTAAATATAATTAAACTTTGTTAATCCCTTAAATCTGGTCTCATAAACTTACTTAAGATTAATTTTTGAAGATTTACTTACATACCACTAAATTTTTATCTATTTACATACATACCATTTTAACCATGCATAAAAGAGAGAGGATATAAAGGATCTTGATTTAAGATCATTATGGAAGTTAACTATTTAATTAAGGTTTCATATCATAATTAAAAAAAAAAACATTTCTATAAGTAATTAATATAATTAATCTATGATAAATAAACATGTGTTAACAAATAATTAATTCTTAAATATTATTAATATTAAATTATAATTGAACAGGTGACTAAATACTAAAGTTTTATGATGATATAATAAATCAATAGTCAATAAAAAAGTGTACTTCATGAATAAAATTTTTAATCATGATTTTAATTTAAATATGTCATTACATTTGTAATAATTTAAATTGTTATATACTCATTAATGAATTTTTTTTTAAAAAAAATACTAGTTAATAAATAATTACTTATATGTCAATGTATTTTTATATTATGCATATGTATGATTTTAATTTAAATATGTCATTACATTTGTGATAATTTAAATCATTATATACTCATTAATGATTTTTTTTAAGAAAAAATACTAGTTAATAAATAATTGCTTATATGTCAATGTATTTTTATATTATGCATATGTGTTCATTAAATATTATCAAATTAAGGTTGTTGTATTTTTTTTATATTAGTTTAGCTTTAACAACATGTCTAACATCTTTTCCAAGTCTATTGTACATATGGTCATGTAAGTTGTAGTCACATGTAACATAATAGAAGTATGCAACCTGACATGACTCTTGACTAGGAAAATTTATGGTGATTTAACTTCATTAAATCATAGAATAATATGCAAAAATAACAAGAAGCAAAACTAAAACAAGTCTCAATCTCATGTTTCTTTTCTCTCTTATTTTACTTGAAAACCTATGTAATAGTTTAATTGCCAAACCATGCTCTTTCCAAATTATGTACTCAAGACTTTACAAAATTTATGACGCAACTAATCACTCTTGGCTCCAAATAAAAGATCGTTAATATATAGTTGAATAATTTAGTATCTCAATCATATTTCTTAAAAACTAATTTACATCCCTTTATAGCATTTATTTTTAATTGGAATTGCACTCAACCTATCATACACAATTTGTGGTGCTTGCTTCAAATTATTTGGTGTTTTCATGAGCTTGGAAACATGATTAGAATGCAAAGAACTCATAAATATAGTTTATAGCTCTATTTATAAATCATCAGTTGTGTTACATGGGAAGATCCATACCTTCATTCCTCATTTATATCATCTCCTTATTTTTGCATTAATTTAATTGTTTTTCTAGATTTTTAATAATGTTTACATCGATTTCATATTTGCTATTTAGATTTTGAATACATAATTCATCACCTATAACAAGCACATATAATGTTGTTTATCAATCTTCTATTATTAAATATCCTAAATGATTAGCTTGTGGATGAATAACCTAAGAAAATAACCTCATTCAATTCTGAATTAACTTTTTTTAAGGTTGAACTATTTTATTATTCAATATAAAGGGTTCAAACATAATAACTACAAATATGATAAGTTTAGTGTTCTACCTTTGAGCTATCCAACAAATATTTAATTTGATTTATATCAAACATTACTCTATTTAATACATAATATTGTTTATTTCATTTCTTATATGAGTTTGAGAACATCTTTCTTTATTTTTAGCCTTAGGTCTCAGGCATTTATTTAACATAGGACCCTTTCTATGATTTTTTTTAGTTGTATTCCAAGTAACCTTAGTAATGGGTAAACCATAGAAGCTTAATTTCAAAAATCTTAGGCCCAATTTGGCAGGAAGCCCTGCCTTTCTCTAATAGAGCCATCCTACATGATCCCTTAAGCTTTAAAAAAAAATAAATTAATTACTGTTTAACATATGCAATAAGGTTGGATGAAACATTGCAAGTTTCTTTACATCCAATATTAACTTGTAAAATTTCCTAAGAAATACCAATTATAAATCCAAAACAAAACCTTGGAAAGCCCTAGATCACTCTTAAGATCCTTAAATTTCATAGAATGCTAACTCTAGTCTACCCCACGTGTTACCTAGGATTCATAAAAGTCTCTTTAATACCCTAAGCACATTCTTGAAAGCATCTTAACCCTTGTAAACTTAGTTTTACAAAAAAATTAAATTTTAGAAACCCAAATAAATCATTAAGTTAATCTCTAAGTTTAAATATTTTAACAATTAATTGGTGAACCCAAGTCTTACCTAGAACCTTTCCCTGACTTTAGAACTCTCCTTACTCATTTTATATGGCTAAAGGATCCCCTTAGTGAACTTAGGTCAATCATTTCAAACCTAAAAATCAAGTGATCAAGAACTAACCCAAGCCATATTGCAATCTTCATTAGTCAATCTGAATCCTCTAGGGCTCTAGAGCTAATATTTGATGTCTTTTGGCATCTCATGGATCTAACCCAAGGGTCAAAATTAATTTATTAACCTAGTTGACCATTGGACAAAATAGGCTAGATAAAAAAGGCATTTCTGCTAAAGTGATAATCTCGGAATCCAATATCCTTATGATTGATTCTAAATAAACATGAACCATTGTAAGAGAGTTTAAAAGCTTGCTTAATTTAAGGTCAAACCACTTGAGCAATGCTCAAACCAAGTTTAACTAGGAGACTCAAGTGACCAACCTTTAATTCAAATTAAACCAAATCAAACCCGAGGATTCTAACTTTAACTCCAAGCAAACCCAATCCATTTTTATGTTTTTGGGGAGTATCACCTAGGCTATGGTTAAATTTAACTTTCAAGAGAATTATTATGATCAGTAGTTCTAAGAAGTCCTCATTAAAGAAGATAATCCTTAGAATT